TTTTTTTGTATGTGGTGCTGAGGATCGAACCCAAGCCGCACGCATGCCAGGCGAGTGCGCTACCGCTTGAGCCACATCCCTAGCCCTCTTTTTTTTTTTTTTTCTTTTTTTGCTAACAGGGACTAAATTCACTGAGCCACATCCACATCCCTTTTTCATATTTTATTTAGAGACAGGGTCTTGCTAAGTTGCTTAAGGACTCACTAATTTGCTGAGGCTGGCTTTGGACTTGGGATTCTTCTGCCTCATCCTCCCAGCTGCTGAGGTTACAGGCATGAGCCACTGTGCCCAGCTTAACTGTTTAAGTACTTTTTTTTTTTTAATTTTCTGAGAAGGGGAGCTACAATGTTGCCCAGGCTAGCTTGGAACTCCTGAGCTTAAGCAATCCTTCTCAGCCACCTGAGTAGTTGGAACTACAGGCATGTACCACTGTGTCCAGCTCAAATATTTAAGTACTTATGGGAAATTATAAGGAGGCACATATGCGTGTTTGTGTAAAGAAAGATGAGTTTGTTACCAATGTTTGAAGTTGGAAATAAAAAGGAAGTGGTGTTTTGTTTTTTCAGTACAGGGGATTGAACCCAGGTCCTTGCACAGGCTAAAGCACTCCACACTGAACCACAACGCCAGTAGGAATTTGGTTATTAAAATGTATATCAATTGGACAAATGATGAAGTAAAATAAGTTACCCCTGAGCACAGATTTCATATAGTTAACTATAGAAGACTAGGTGCTCTATCCAGCATCTATCCACTTATTGAATCATCCATTCTGGTTGGAAGCAACACAGTATATCTTGGACTTTGGAACTGGGCAGTCCTGGGTTTTATCCTCAACTCATTCCTTGGTGATCAGCTCTTGGGCTCCTGTTTCCTTTCCTATAAAAATGAGGACAGGGCTGGGGATGTGGCTCAAGTGGTAGAGCACTCGCCTGGCATGCGTGCGGCCGGGGTTCGATCCTCAGCACCACATACAAACAAAGATGTTGTGCCCGCTGAAAAACTAAAAAATAAATATTAAAAAAAAATTCTCTCTCTCTCTCTTTAAAAAAAAAAAATGAGGACAAACACCTACCTCGAAGGATGGTTGGAAGGATTAGAAATTAAGTATGAAACATACCCTGGAATATGGTTACTATTATTTTTCAGTCTACATTTATTGAGGTAGGTGCTGGGGATACAAAGATGAATAAGCCATAGTCCACAGTCCCTCCCTCAAGGAGCTCACAGTCTAATGGGAGAGGCTGATTAAGAATAATTAATTACAGGGCTGGGGATGTGGCTCAAGTGGTAGCGTGCTCGCCTGGCATGCGTGTGGCCTGGGTTCCATCCTCAGCACCACATACAAACAAAGATGTTGTATCCGCCAAAAACTAAAAAATAAATATTAAAATTCTCTCTCTCAAAAAAAAAAAAAAAGGATAATTACTATACACATGGGAATAGCTGATAGACCTGTGCCTCCCTCCACCCTGGAAAGCACAAGGCTGAAGGGACAACATCTTCCCTGTGGGGGAGGCAGATCACCGGGTCCTGAGAAATGACCCAATTTGCCAGTTGGAGAATGAGAGGAAACAATACAAAGGCAGAGGTCTGAAAACAAAGGAACATGGGTGAAAGTGGGGATGTCTACCCAGAAACAAGTCTGATTTTATTTGCTTTTCAGCATTTTAAGTCCCATTTGGTATTATAGTCATCCCTTGGCATCCCTGAGAGATTGGTTTTAGGAATCCCCCTTGGATACCCTAACCTATGGATGCACAAGGCCCTTAAGTAAAATGGTATAATATTTTCAAATAATCTAGACATATTATCTTATATACTTTAAATCATCTCTAGATTATTTATAATGCCTAATACAATATAAAAGCTATGTAAACAAGTTACACTATATTGTTTGGGGGATAACAACAAGAAAAAGGTTGTATATATTTAGTATAATTTTTTTAAATTTATTTTTTGTGGTGCTTGGGATTTGAACTCAGGGATACTTTACCACTGAACCCCCCACTCCTTTTAATTTTTTTTTTTTTTTTTGATTTAAGACAGGGTCTTGCTAAGGTGCTGAGTCTGGCTTCAAATTTGTGATCCTCCTGCCTCAGTCTCCTGAGTAGCTGGGATTACTTGCAATTGGTTGAATCCATGGATGTGAAACCTGTGGTTATGGAGGGATAACTGTATTCTCATTGTCAAATTGGCACTTTACAGGAGAAATGTTTATTTCCTTAAACTGTTCCTCAACATCTCTCGCTAGTCTCAAGCTACTAGTGGTGATGATTGGTGAGAGAATAAATAAATAATCTGGTATTTTCAGGTTTACAATTTAATTTTCTGCAAGAGTTTATCTATTTTGTAGTGCTAGGGACTATAGGGGGACCTTCAGCATGCTAAGCCACATACACACTGAGCCACGTCCTCAGTGCAATAGGCAAAATTAGATTGCTTCTTTTGGATGGAACCAGCTTCATTCATGTCTTGGGATACTTGCTCAAGGTCTGAGACAACTTCTCTCCCTAAGATGTGGCCAACAGTATTGCTTAATGGCTATAGAGTTGTTGTTTGAGATGATGAAAAAAATTCTATTTCTGGTAATCATTATTGGTGAGGATTATGTATCATTTTAAATGTACTTCATGACATGGAATAGTACACTTAACAATGATGTTAGAAGCTGGATATGGTGGTGCATGCTATAATCCCAGCTACTTGGGAAACGGAGGCAGGATTGTAAATTTAAGGCCAATCTGGATAATTTACCAAGATCCTGTCTCAAAACAAAAAGTTTTAAAAAGGTCTGAGGAGCTAGGTGCCATGATGTATGCCTATAATCCTAGCTACTCTGGAACCTGAGCCAAGATCACAAGTTCAAGACCAGCCCCAACAACTTAGTGAGACCCTATCTCTCAGCTCAGAGGTGAAGATAGAGTGCTTGCTTGTTAGGCATGAGGCCCTGGGTTCCACTGCCCAGTACGTAGAGCTGGGCCTACTGGCATATTCCCTCCCGTACCCTGTAGTTCCAGTTATTCAGGAGGTTGACGCAAGAGGATCACTCGAGCCCAGCAACTTGAGGCCAGTCTGGACAGCATAGTGAGATTCTGTCTCAAACAAACAAACAAACAACAACAAAAAAAACTAATTGGCCTTAGGGAGTTGAGGAAGTTGGGACACTCAGATCACATCCTATTCTTTGGCTTGTCTGCCTCTTGGCTGCGTCCTTGATCAGCCAACTTTGCCTGAGGACTGAAGTTGCTGCAGCCTGCTCTTTAATGGCAGCTGAAACCATACTACTCCTTACCTTCACCCTCTCTGGGTCCCTTATGTGTCTTCACTATCAAACCACTGTGTTCCCTATCACAGAGCTAACTTCCTCTTGGAAGCTCTTTTGGTAGACCCTCAAGGGGGAACACCCAGAAAAAGCCCAAGGTACTCTTTTTTTTTTTTTTTTTAAGTGAATAGACTTTTTTTTTTTTAAAGAGAGAGAGAGAGAATTTTTTAATATTTATTTTTCAGTTCTCGGCCGACACAACATCTTTGTTTGTATGTGGTGCTGAGGATCGAACCCGGGCCGCATGCATGCCAGGTGAGCGTGCTACCGCTTGAGCCACATCCCCAGTCCCCCAAGGTACTCTTAACATGTCTCTGCCCAAAGCAGCTGGGCAATTGGCCTATAAGGTACCAATACATTCTTATTTCCATTTTACAGATGAAGAAACAGCATTAGGGAAGTCAATCAGGATGAACCCATATTGCTCTGACATCAAATATCAGAAGGGTGGATGTGATGAGTGAGGCTGGGATTTTGTACAGGACTTGGGAGTCTGAACTTTAGATAATGGGGAGCCAGCCTAGCACCTGGCCTGGAGAGGTGCTTCATACTATTTCTCCCACATGATGGACCTATTTAAGTGGACTTCTTTGTTATCTGCCTCCTTCCAGTGGAATGTAAAGTAGGTGGGGGGCGGGGGGGAATGCCTATGTTTTGCTCACTACCCTGAACATGCCTGGAATCTTTTAAAGACTTAGTAAGCATTTGAGGTAGGGAGAGTTCTTTTAAGACAACAGCAACCTAAGCATTTTATGTACATGATTTTATTTAATCTCTAAACAACTTCATGAATTAAAGCCTTCATGAGCTTTTTTTTTTTTTTTTTTAAATACTGGGAATTGAAACCAGGTTTGATTTGCCACTGGGCTAAATCCCCAGGCCTTTTTATTTTTATTTTGAGACAGGGTCTCGCTAAGTTGTTTAGGGCCTTGCTAAATCTCTAAGGCTGGTCTTGAACTTTTGATGGTCCTGCCTTGGCCTCTGGAGTCTCTGGATTACAGGCCTGTGCCTCCACACCTGTCTAGTAAAGATCACTTTTAACATGCTATGCCACCCCCATTCAAGGTTAAATAAGATGAAGTTTAGAGAGGTTAACTTTTCTGAGGTCACAAGGTGGCAAAGCCATGATTTAAACCTAAACGTTTAGTCTGGGGCTAGGGATGTAGCTCAAAGTAGAGTACTTGCCTACCTGGGTTGAATCCCCAGCACCACCCAAAGAACAACAAAACAAACCAGACAGTCTGGAGTCCCTGACTCCAGAAAGAGGGCATTTAATACTGTACAGTACAGTCCTGGTATAGATGCTATTTTGGACTGGGTGCAAAGAGGTGCAAGATGAGGCTGAGAAAAGTCATGAGGCCAGCCAGTTTAAATAGCTAAACATTTGTGTCTGCTGCCCTGTCCCTGCATAACTTTGATTTTTGATTTGCCTCTCCATTCCAGGTCTCCATTGCTGATGAGGCTGTGACTAAAAGCTTCCAATCCTTTACAGCCATCGGACCCTGCAGCCATAGCACATATTTCCATGACCTGCTTCTCCTTGCTTTTGGTCGGTCTCTGCACAGCCTCCAGGTCCCTGTACAACCTCCAGGCTGCCACCCTGGAGGTAAAAGGGATGCCTGGATCTTGATGTGTCTCATGATGTATCCAGCCTAGCTCCCCCTCCCACTTTTTCACGATGTTGACCAACTCCTCCCTGTTGGCCAACTGCTCTGCCAACGCCTCTTCTACCAACAGCTCTATTCCTCCGTGCCCTGACTATAGGGCCACCCATCGCCTGCACATGGTGGTCTACAGCTTGGTGCTGGCGGCCGGGCTCCCCCTTAATGCGCTGGCCCTCTGGATCTTCTTGCGCGTTCTGCGCGTACACTCGGTGGTGAGTGTGTACATGTGCAATCTGGCAGCCAGCGACTTGCTTTTCACCCTCTCACTGCCCGTGCGCATCTCCTACTACGCACTGCACTACTGGCCCTTCCCCGACCTCCTGTGTCAGACGTCGGGCGCTATCTTCCAGATGAACATGTATGGCAGCTGCATCTTCTTGATGCTCATCAACTTGGACCGCTATGCCGCCATCGTGCACCCCCTGCGTCTACGTCATATGCGGCGGTCCCGCGTGGCGAGGCGGCTCTGTCTGGGTGTGTGGGCACTCATCTTGGTGTTTGCTGTGCCCGCCGCCCGCGTGCACAGGCCCTCGCCTTGCAGCTACCGGGGCATCGAGGTACGTCTGTGCTTCGAAAGCTTCAGTGATGAGCTATGGAAGGGCCGGCTGCTGCCCCTTGTGCTGCTGGCCGAGGCCCTGGGCTTTCTGTTGCCCCTGGCAGCCGTCCTCTATTCATCTGGGCGGGTCTTTTGGACTCTAGCGCGGCCGGACGCCACGCAGAGCCAACGGAGGCGGAAAACCGTGCGCCTTCTGCTGGCCAACCTCGTCATCTTCCTGCTGTGCTTCGTGCCCTACAACTCCACTCTGGCTGTCTATGGGCTGCTGCGGGGCAACCTGGTGGTGGCCAGCCAGGAGGCCCGCGATCAAGTGCGCGGGGTGTTGATGGTAATGGTTCTGCTGGCCGGCGCCAACTGCGTGCTGGACCCGCTGGTGTACTACTTCAGCGCCGAGGGTTTCCGTAACACCCTGCGTGGCCTGGGTACTCCACTCCAGGCCCGGACCTTGGCCACCAATGGGGATAGAGGAGCGAGTGCAGAAAGATCCTCAGAGGCCATCCACACCACTGGAGTGGATGCCACCAGTCAGGAGCTACTCCAGCCACCTAAACCCAGAATGCCCTTCACCGAGTGTCCCCAGGATTCCACCCTCTGAACGCATATCGCGCAATAGTGCAGTCTGGTACCTCTCTCATAGGCTTCTGGATCCATGTCCATGAGGGAGGTGCACTGAGCGCTTGGATTTCAGAGTGGAACTCCAGTTCTTGAATGCAGATGAGAACAAAGTGTGGAAACAAGGTCACAGGAAAGAAAGATTGTTACTAGCCATGGCTTCTTTAAGTTGGTGGTAGTAGGCAAAGGACTCTTTCTCCAATCGGTGGGAAGTGATGCAATGAACCTGACCACAGCTAAGAGCTAAGATGGAAAGGAAAGTGGATACCCTGGATTTTGCCACAGGACCACAGGGCCAAGAGCTGAAGAGCCCCAAACCTTGGTAGATCAAGCTACTGAGAAGTTGGTGCCATCTGTTGAGTTCTGTGCTGATCTCAGGGCCATGGACACCACCATTCTCACTTCCACCTGGCCTCCTGCTACTTAGCAGGAAGCGTACAAGTGTTTATTTGATATGGAGAGAACTGGGTTCCTTATTATTGATTTCTAATGGTTTCAGCTAGGACACCCAACATGGGATGGTAGGGGCAGGCAAAACTGTGAATTAAATTGTGATACACACTGCCCCCCTCCCCAAAATCCTAGTTTTTGTCCCTTGTCTAGGTCATCGCTTCTCCTGCCATTGTTTTTAGGGCCTCCTCCTTTCTAGGTCCTTAATATCATCTCTGTCTTCCTGCTTTGTCAAAAGAAAGGAGAACAGTCTTTGTATTAAAGCATTGGTTCTCAAACTTCTTGGTCTCAGATCCCTTTACACTCATAGAAATTGAGGACCCCAAGAGCTTTTGCTTATTCTTTGTTGTTTTAATATTTACTGTAATGGGAATTAAAGCTAATAAGTTTTTAAAACAGAAATACACAAGCACACAATCTATTAGCCGTGAGAGTGGTAATGTCATCACATTTCTTGAAGCCTCTGGAAAACTACATTGTATACTGGTGAAGAGAGTGAAAAACATAAATAATATCTTAGTAGTATTATGAAGATAATTTTGACTTCATGGACTTCCTCAAAGAACTGGTCCCTGGATCACACTTTGAGAACCATACTTGTGCTAAGGTATTAGAGTTCACATTACCATCTTCCCAGGGCATTATATAATAGTTTTTTGTTTGTTTGTTTTGTTTTGTTTTTATGACTGTAAGGAGTGTGGTGCTCAACAAATTAATTGCTAATAATAGTGCTTAAGGCTTGGGGCTTCCTGGAGGCAGGCAGGAGTTTGTACACCAAATGGAATACCACCTTGGGCTTATAAGGGCAGCAGCCTTGGGGGGTCAGGGGTGGAATCAGACACACACACACTCCGGAGGAGGAGAGGGCGAGACGTCTCTAGTGGTTAGAAAGGAACTGTGCCATAGCCAGGAGAGAAGAGTATACAGGGAAGTAAGAGTGAGATGAGAGGATAGGAATAGCCCGACTGTTCTTAGCAAACTAAATGGTTTCCTTCCGTCTTGATCCAAGTAGGGGGCTGGGAGGGCTGCAGAGTTAGCACCTTGACATCTTTAGACCTTGGCAGTAAGAGTTGTTGCTATGTGTGTCCAGTATGCATTTCCATCCCTATGTCTCAGTACTGTATTTTTCTCTCCCTCTCTCTGTATGTGTGTGTGTGTGTGTGGGGGGGGAGTGTGTGTGAGACAGTGTTAGGGTTTTCCTGTATCTGTGTTTCGAGTTCAGAGTCAGTCTTTTGTGTGTCTTTATGTGAGCTCTCCAGTTGGTGATTTACAGGGGTAAAATGACCTCTGGTGGCCAAACCAGGTAACTGACCCAGATTTCTCAAGATAGCCTTGAAGTCCCAGCCTTCATCTGGGTAGAGGTTAGAGCCCAGGACCAGCTCCTTACCCAGTTGCTCTTAAGGCTTGTTTGTTAGCATCCACCCCATCTGGCTTCACCTTCAGAATTCCAGACCTGTTTGTGCCTGTCCTGATCTGAAGGCACAAGCCTCACCAAATCTCTTAGTCCAACTCTGAGAACTTTAACACAAACTGAACTGAACACAATTTAAAAAAATAAAATGAAGGGGCGAGGTGCAGTGGTGCGAACCTGTAATTCCAGTGGCTAGGAGGCTGAGGCAGGAGGATCACAAGTTCAAAGCCAGCCTCAGCAACTTAGTGAGGCCCTAAGCAACTTAGTGAGACCTGTCTCTAAATAAAATATTTTTTTAAAGGGTGGGGTGTGGCTCTGTGGTTAAGTGCCCCTGGGCTCTATCCCTGATACCCTCCCCCAAAAAAACAATAATAATTTGAAAGGGAAGAGGGCATACTTAACATTCACAAGGCCCTGAGTTTGGTTCCTTGTAATACACAACTAAATGAATGAACAAATAAAAATTTTAAAAATACTTGAGTACTTTTATAAGCAGGTACATGAGTGAATTCTAAAGTAATTAAAACACATATATAATCTGCTTATTTATTTTTCCTAATTTTTATGTTTATTGGATGTCTCCTTCCTAGATAGAATGTAAGCTCCATGGGGGCAGGCTTTGGTTCTCTTATATATTCACTAACATCTAAAATAGGGCCTGGCACAGGAGAAGTGCTCAATAAATATTTGTTGAATGGATGAACAGTCAGATCTTGTTGTGAAGTATTTTACTACTTAGTGGGGAATACAGAACAATAACTATAATGCAAGATAGAAGATGCAGGAATACAGGGCAAAGTGTTGGCAATTTATTTAGAACCCTGAAGGTTCTCAGGTTTGGCTCACATGGACATATTGTGTAAGATAGCCTGTAGGGAAATGAAGTGAAGGAAAATCCAAGGAAAAGAGCGATTTGGGACCTACTACAATAGTTGGGAAGAAGTGTGGTTATGGTTTGTGGAAGAATTCTCACCAGGCTATCACTTCCAGATGGAAATGGGTTGTTTGCAGTGTGACATGTCTGGTGTTAAAGTCCTGGTGGACTGTTAAAGGCCCATCCAAAGGGTTTCTACCATGAGAACACAGAAGAATAGATTAAGGAGCTATTGCAGACAGAGGGGAATGAATAGAACCTAACACATTAACAGGCTGTGGAAGTTTAAGAAAACTTGTAGCTAGGCATGGTGGCACTTGCCTGTAATACCAGCAACTCAGGAGATTGAGAAGTAGAAGAATCCCCAATTCACGGCCAGCCTCAGCAACTTAGCAAGATCCTTCTCAAAATAAAAAATAAAAAAGGCTAGGGATATGGCTCAGTGTTTAAGCACCCCTGATTCAATCCCTGATACCAAAGGGGAACAAAACAAAACCAAAAAACTTGTAGCCACTGGCACTTTCACAGGATTCCCAATTATTTTGTAAGTAATAAGATGGAGTCAAGATGTGGGAAATCTAGAGCACACACCCATACTTTGGGGCTGTCCCATTTAAGGTCTAGAAAAATCCAAAGAGGAGGAAGAGAAAAAGCAAGAGTGTTACAGGTTTTTAAAATATTCTCATGGCCAGCCAGGTGCTGTGGCACATGCCTGTAATCCCAGTGGCTTCAGAGGCTGAGGCAGAAGGAGGACCACTTGAACCCAGGAGTTTGGAGCCAGCCTGAGCAACATAATGACATCGTGAGACCTTGTCTCCAAAAATTTATATTATGCTAAGCGAAGTAAGCCAATCCCAGAAAACTAAAGGCTGAATGTTTTATCTGATTGGTGGATGCTGATCTATAATACGGGGATAGGAGGAGTGGAGGAACTTTGGATTGGGCAAAGGGAAGGGTGGGGAGAGGTTATGAAGATAGGAAAGATGGTGGAATGAGATGGACATTATTATCCTAGGTACATGTATGATTGCATGAATGGTGCGTCTCTATACCGTGTACAACCAGAGAATTGAAATGTTGCACTCCATTTGTGTACAATGAATTGAAATGCATTCCATTGTCAGGATGATGATTATCCCTACTGTACAGATGAAACAACAAAACACTGGGGAGAATTTGAAGTCTTAAAGTTACACAATCTGGAAATGGCTGACTCTCTATTTGGCTCCTAAACTACTCCTTGCAGCACATCCTGTTCCCCTTTCCTCTCCAACCCTGGCTCTATTACATGCATCCTTGGTATCCTTGCCTCTCTTCACCTGATAAAAGTCATCTCTCTCAATTGTTTTTCTCACCTCGAATCTGTGGTGTCATCTTTGCCCTGATCTTCCTCCATGTTCCCTGTGCACACTGCCCTTCCCTTTACACAATCCTCAGTACCCCCAGGACACAGTGCAACTGGGTAAGGTCTAAGAACCAGGCTCACCCACGGTATCAATTGTGTTAGGTCCTAAACACACCATATCGAGGACCCGGGAAGGAATAGCCTGTCCGTGACACACACAGTCAGGACAGTTTAGACTTAATGCGGTGGGTATGACTCCCTCCCCAGGCCTGGGATTAAAAAAAGCAGCACTTTTTTTTTTTTTTTGGGGGGGGGACTGGGGATTGAACCCAGAGGCACTTAACTACTGAGCAACATCTCCAGTCCATTTTTATTCTTATTTTGAGACAGTGTCTCTCTAAGTTGCTTAGTCTCACTAAATTGCTGAGACTGGCTTTGAACTTGCGATGCTCCTGTCTCAGTCTCTGGAGCTGCTGATATTATAGGAATAAGCCACCTGGTCTGGCATACAGCAGCACTGTTAATTGTTCATCAACTCAACGGAGAAGGATACCATCTCTTGGTTCTCAAAACCTCCTCTATAGGATGCCTTCGAATGGTGATTCTAGTTGGGGGAGAGTATCAATCAATGGTCTGGCAATACAACAAAGTCAGGAGAATCAGGACAGAGGTAAGGATTCTACAGGAAGGCAGAGATGCTACATTCTTGGTCTTGACCATCTTAAGGAGAATCCTTATGATCTTGCTTGCCTTCTGGGATCCCAAGTAAGAAATGGGGAAGGGAAGGTAAATCTCACACCAGACATTCCTTCTCTATTCTTTCAGGAGGCCCTGGAGACAAAGAGAGGCTGGAGGTAATTCTCATCAGAGGACCTGAAAGAACTGGAAAGTGAAGTTTCTCACACTAGGTTTGGGGAAAACCAAAGACTCTCAGAACCTTGGAATCAAACAAACCTGGATACTGATTTCAGCTTTGTCATTTCTTGGCAATGTATCTTTGGTCAATTAACCTCTCTGAGCCTCTGTTCAATGGAGCTCATAATATCTGCTTTTTGGGTGGTGGTGAGGGTCAATGAGATGAAGGACCTTTGAAAGGCATTTTAGAAGCTTCATAAATGGGAGCTGTCTTTCAAATAAGAGTATGGAGCTCAGATGCTGCTTGTGATGCCCTTGCTTCTGGAAGCAGCAAGGGTTCCAGGTGAATCGTCACCAGACAGAGCTCTGCCAGCAATCAGAGCTAGGGCCAAGGGAACTGGAGAGGAGGCAGGCTGGGCACGTTTCCATGGTGCTGGGTCAAGCAGGCAGTCTTCAGGGGCAGTGACTGGTCCATTGCCCTCTGGGGGCACTCTCTCCCCATGAGGCTGATGTCCATCCCACAAACTAAGGAATAGGTGGAGAAGCGCATGAAAGGAAGAGGAGGGGGATAGGACGAAGACCCAGGATTTGGAGAAAGGGCGAGTGAGGAGGCTGGAGGGCCAGGCAGGCACAGGGTGGGGCCAGGAGAGGGGCCCAGGGCAGGAGGGCGGGAGACAGCCTGGGAGGGAAAGCGCCGACCGAGGGAGGGAGGAGGGACAGGGAGGGAGACCGGCGGCGCTGACACAGCCTCGATATGTGGAACGGGCTGGGGTTTGGCCCACAGGTCAGGCGTCTGGCAGTATTATGGGATGCAGAGGCCTTAGGAGACAGGGAGAGTATTATGGGCTGGAACAGCCTTAGGAGACTGGGGAATATTATGGGCTGGTGAGGCCCGGCTCCAACTGGAGGCGGGAGGAAGGGGTGCGGGGCGGGAAGGGGGGGTGGTGGTGGAAAGGAGTATTATGGGCTGGAGGCCTCCTGCGACCAGAGGCAAGAGTATTATGGGCTGGCAAGGCCTTCGGTGGCCAGAGGGGGGAGCAGCGGGGGATGGCACCGGCTGCATGTGACTGAGGGGGGGCCAAGTTGGGGGGGTGGTGAATGGGGGTGGGGGAGCTTATTATGGGATAGCTCTTTGTACCTACTGCGGGGACTGCTTCTCCAGAAGATATTATGGGATGTCGTGTGTGGGAGGGGGAGTGGGGCTGGGGGGATTATTATGGGATGGTGGTGCAGAATGGGGAGGGCTTGAGGAGCTCTTCTCCAGCCCCCCTTACCCCTTAGTCTCTCACCATCTTAAGGTCAGCCTCCTATCTCCAAAAGCCCATGAGGAACACCTGAAATCCATCTCCCTACACACACACTTTGGGCACCTCAACCCATCCTAGGCATCTTCTCTAACTAGCAGCCACCTCCCTCCAGAGTGCGGAGGAAAAAAGGTAGCCCCTGAGGAATGGAATAGAGACTCATAGCAGGGTCGTGATGGTCAGTGACTTCCAACTCCCACCTGCACAACGTCATCTTTTGCTTCCTAACCCCTTATGCCACTCTTTCTCCTCTCCCTCTCTCCCACAAAGTGGGGGCCCTTCATCCTCTTCCCCTCCCCCTCCCCTCCATTTCCTCTCCAGCTCCCTCCACAGCCGTAACCAGTAAAACAGGCGGCCAACTATTATGGGATGGCTGCTCCCAGCAGCTCTGCAGGGAGGGGGCGGTCACCGCGGAATGTCTCTTGTGGGTGGCTATTATGGGATGGCCGCCTCTCTTTTTTTGGGGGGGGTAGGGGGCTACTGAGGAGGATTATTATGGGATGTGCCCAGCACAGCTGGGTGGGGCTGTCCTAGGTAGGTAAAGCTCTTGGGAGGGGGGATGGTAAAGGAAAGGAAGGAAGAGGGAGGGAAGGAGCAGGGAGGGTGGGGTGAGCCCTGGAGCCAGACCTGAGGCCTGGCAGGAGTAACTGGCTGGAGAAGTTTCTTTGGTGACAGCTGATTGAAGGGGCCCCTGGGGCGAGCTGCACCTAGCCAAATCTGAACCCTGGACACCTGAGTTCTTCCCCCAGTTTGTGAGCTACAGGAATACCAAGTCCAGGGGCAGAAGTGAGAACTCCCAGGTCCTGGCTGGGTGCACACCAAAGAGTAGTGTTTCTGGTGACCACAGTACTCAGCTACTCTATTCCATCTTCCTCTTCCTGGGTTTGAACCTTGGGATCATAGCTCGCAGAAGAGGGGTCCAGCACTGGAATGCAGTCACACCCAAAGAACAGATGCTGGCTTGGCTCCTGACAGACAAAAGTCATTCCTTATGCCCTGAATGGTCTGCATCATGTCTAGCCATCACAGTGCATTGTCACTATGGCCTTTCTTCCCTCTGTTGTTTTCCCAAATTGTCTTTCCTGACAGAGCAGAACACTGTGGCCCCTTGGACCCGATGAGCAGTTTTTCAGGTTTACAGAGAACAGAGGTGTAAGAAGAGGCATTATAGAGTGCATGTTGAAAACTCCAGGACAACCCCCTCCCACCGAGTGTTAGTCTAAGTTCATCAGTACCATGGGATGGAAACAGAACTCTAAGGTAACTGGATAGAGAGGTTGCCCCCCTGGGTGCCTTAATTAGAAGATTATGCCACCCTTAGTCTCCATGGG